GTTTTCTAGGGTTGGGGAGTTAGGCTTTAGGGTTTAGGGTTTGCTAGGGTTTAGGGTTTGCTAGGGTTTAGGGTTTATAAAGAGTTGTTTTGTTTGTTTTCTTCTTCATTTTGCAGTGCAAGGAGAAACTCGAAGAAGTTCGCAAGAAGGAGAAGAGTACATTTGGCGCCATCTTTACTAAGGGCACCCTCTATGACGGTATGTCTATTAAATATAATAAACTTATATATATAAATATAAATATATATATATATATATGTATATATATATGTATATATATATTTTATATATATACAGTTGGTGTAAACGCAAATGAAGGGGTCTCAACAACCCTTTCTTCGATACTGAGTTTAAAATGGATATCTATCAGTGGAATACGCATACTTTTTACTTTAGGGTTTAGGGTTTAGGGTTTAGGGTTTAGGGTTTTAGTTGAGTACTGTTCGTTTTAACTGCGACTGATCAGAGTGCTCTATGGCTTGAACATAATACTAAAAAAGATAATAATAATAATAGTAATTATTATTATTATTATTATACAAGTGATAATTATATTTAATCTCCTTTATTACTGTCTCTCTTATGTTGTTTGTCTTGTGCAGAAAAGGCGGGGGTTCGCAACTTAGATCGATGCCCTCGCGTTTATATGGACATTCGCGTTGGCGACAAAGAGCGTAAGGGTTTAGGGTTTAGGGTTTGGGGTTTGGGGTTTAGGGTTTAGTTGGTGTTTGTCTCAATTGAAATTTGTTTCCTAGGAGATAACCTTTTTGTTTAGGGCTTTATTCATGCCTCTCCCCTCTATAAGATATAATATATAATATGTAATATATTTTATACTATATATAATACATATTATATTAGGGTTTAGGGTTTAGGGCTTTGTAGGGTTTACGGCTTTGTAGGGTTCAGGGATTTGCAGGGTTTAAGGTTTAGGGTTTAGGGTTTAGGGTTTAGGGTTTGCGTGCAGCAAAGCGTCTTGTCATTGCTTTGTACCAAGACACGGTACCCCGCACAGTGGAGAACTTCAAATCCCTCTGCGTTGGTAAGTTTATATTTTGTTGTTTATTAGGGTTTGTTTGAAGTGTACATACACCAGAGCTGCGGCAGTGTCGTGCATATATATATATATATATATATATATATATATATT